CAGCAGTTTAGCGGTTTGAATCCCTAGCGCTGCGTAACGGAGTGAGCTACCGTTACTTGTCCCAGCTTCTGCCAACCTAACAGTTCCAAAGCATGTAAAAATACAAGTAGAAAAATAGGAACCACCTTTGGTGGTAAGGTAACAGAGTTCCAGGTGCCTTTGGTGTTTAGTCATGTGACCATGAAGACATCTTCAGACAGCGCTGGCTTTGAAATGGAGATGAGCACCACCCGCTAGAGTCGGGAACGACTAGCACATATGTGCAAGAGGAACATTTACTTTTATGCTTTACCCCATCTTAAGATTCAGTTGTGAGTCCTATTAAATTCATTTGGGTACTGGGATAACATAAAAAGAAGAGTAAACTGTAGAAATCTGAACAAAGGCTGTCTATTCTGACAGTGGTTGTCCCAGATTTTAGTCAGAGGTCTTCTCCAGCCCTATTTGGAAATAGTAGCAAAGGCTTCCATAATTAGAGTAGAAATTGGAAGGCCTGATTCTGTTGTTAAAGATTTGTTTGTCAAAATCAGGAAATAGCTACTAATATTCAGGTATTATTGGTATGGAATCTCTGCCCGAGGCTGATAACCTGGGTCTGCTATAGCCATGTGTTCTTCTTGGTTCTCATTTTTTAAAATAATGATAAAATATGTCATCAACAGGAAGTCATTTTATGCTGATTCTCCTTGCATTAGATAATAATTCAATTAAGCCATATTTAATACGTATGTATTTTCAAAATCTGGGTTTCTGCATTATTATCTTATGTTAACACACTCAGGAACAAAATACTTACTTTTTAAATTATCAGACTTTTGACAATATAATGAATCTCTAGAACATCTGAATTTAATTTTGAATGATTGGCTAAAGCAAGAGAAATATTGTTTACAAGTTAAGATACTAAAGTGTATCTCTCCCATTGTAAACCTAAGAATATCCACATCCATCTTTTTGAGCACGGAATAAAAATTCCTTTCCCTGCACACAGTAAAGCCGTGGTTCTTTTGCTTTTTAACATTACCTATTGTGTTATCTCTGTATTTAATTCTACATTTCTCATTTGGAAGAACAGATTAATGTCCTTACCATGCTGTTCTTATGAATACTCAAGATTATATGTAAAGCGTTCCTTTAATTGCAAGTACAACTAGAAAAATCTCCTTTCTTTAAGTGAATGCCTTCTCTCACTTGGCGAGCCCTTGCAGGGCTCCCAAAACCTCTATTTTTAAGGGCTTTTTGGTCTACCTTCCTGTAATTTGGGCTGTTTTAAAAATAATGCAGCATACCAGCAGCATCTCCTTGCTGCTTTCTGAGGAATGAACAAAAGGGAGTTCTTTTCTTTCTTTCTTTGTTCAGATTTTTCTCCTCTGTCTACAAAAGTTTTAATTCACAGGAAAAACTTCTTTTTTTCCTTCCTTAACTGTGGAGAGTAAAAATGGTTTAACTCTCTGCTTAAGGCCAGTGCTGAAGCTGCCAGCCATCTCTTGCTGTTTATTCTTACAAAAAACACAGTGGGAAGGAACGCAATCTTAGTATATCATGTCCTCAATAGGGGGGGGGGGGGAATTATTCCAAAGCATTTTCTATGGGAGGTTTTATTTTAGTTCCTGCAATATTATTGTTGCTGGTATTTTTTAAGATGGTAGAGGCTACCTTATTCCAAAATGACTCTGGATGGTTAACAATTAAACTTAGAAAACAATAGGGAAAAAATTCTATGCATTTACAAAAACACATCCCATACACCAAAAAAACGACAGCAATAGAGACTTCACAAGTATTGCATCCCAGTGTAAAGAGAAGACATATTCGCAGTTTTTGACCAAAAAAAAAACCATCTATGTGGGAACAATATTCCTTCTTTTGTTTTATTTTCCCCACCCTTTGATGGAAGCTTCCATCCAACAAGTTGGGCATTTTCCTGAAAAAAACACATTTTCTGACTCTTTCCTCTTGCAAAATGCTAATGAGAGGGAAATAAATTATTTGATATTTTTTTAAAGAAAGTTAATATCTAGGAACCGATGAGCATTGGAAGAGGCAGCTACATCAAGAACTGTACTTTTGGCCATTTCCACATATACACAACTTGANTTATTCTATTATTTGTGTCTCAAAAATAGAATTGTGTCTCAGAAAAAAGAGTCTCAATATTGCAAGCATGTTCTCTCAATCCAGCATAAGTAACTGTTAACAATATGCTATTGAGAACTTCTCATCCAGAATGTATAACACTTTTCCAAGATTGAAAACAACTGCCTGTTCTTATAAGTCCAGGATAGCCTGCTTCAAAAAGATTGTCCGTGTGTCTCTTGGCAAGCACACCTGTTCCTCAAAGCACATAAAAGTGTTTTCTTGGATCCTGAGTGCTGTATCCACATCAGTTACAGACAGACGTGTCCTTTCTAGATTTAAAGCTGGAGTCTAGCATTACTTCATTTGATATATTGACCCTTTGCCCATTAAACGCAGTCTAAAAAATAAAACTGCAAATAATGAAGTAACATTAAAAAAAACAATAGCAAGGATATATATATTGCAATAAAACCAATAGGTAGAACAGATAGCACAGTCTTCGCTGTCACTTAAGAGCAGGGAAGACGAACTGGACTGAATTTCCTTGAGGAAAAGTCTCTTATGGGTTAAACTATGATAACTGAGATCAGAAAACCAATTAAGCAATGCAGCACTGTAGTAAGTCAAAAAGCCACGTGATTGTATTGTTTGGTGATGACAATTCTGGCTGAACCACTGTTAAGCAAGAACCACACATGTTGTTAAACAAGGAGCATATCTTCCAACTTCCTGCCAGCTTCCCCACTGATTTTGCCTATGGGAAGCCAGCAGGGAAGGCCATACTTTATATCACCATAGTATAGTGTGATGGCTGTAAGTATAAGGCCCATTTGTAATTATCACTCATTCAGGGTTGTCTTAAGTTCAGACAGTTGTTGCATGAATGAACATTAAACAAAGACCACCTATAATTGGATTTGTTACAAAAAGGTCACATCTTCTGTATTCAAGGACCTACTTCTCCTTGTGGAGGCACATACAGTAAAGGTTCCGAGGGATCATCATAAAACATAGCTATATTCTTATGCCATCCATGGTTCCTTTGTGCAATATAGGGCTTATTATACTTTACCCCATCTTAAGATTTAGTTGCTGTGGGACATGGTGGCTCAGTGGCTAAGACGCTGAGCTTATCAATCAGAAAGGTCAGCAGTTTAGCGGTTTGAATCCCTAGCGCTGCGTAACGGAGTGAGCTCCCGTTACTTGTCCCAGCTTCTGCCAAC